GTGGAGTGACCTTGAGGACAGTATTCACCACGGTGATGCATTTTTAGGGCAAAGCATTCTTTCTATTTTTTAACAGATTTGGGTTTGATAAAAAGAAAGCAAAAGGTATCAAATATAAATCAGTTTTCAATTTTCTTCTAAAGGAGCAGTGTAGAAATAACATTAAGCCTTGGGTGGCTCATCTCTAAAATACTTTTTGTACATAAACACTTTAAAATGTGCAAGATCAAAAAGATAACAAACAGCCCTGCGGTCATTTTAACTTTAAAAATATCCAATTTTTGTAGGGATTCAGATCTACGATTACGACATCACCAGTGAATAACAGCTTGAAGCCAACCTCGCTCAACCAAATGGAATTTTCGCCCCCATCCCTTTTCTGAATATTTGACTTTGCCCGCTTATGGCTCAAGCTAGTTTGTCAGACTTAGAGATTTGAGTCAAATATCAGCCAATGACTTTTCGGCCGCCTTTCATCCCTGCCCTTTGATTTCCAATAAAATAATGAATTGTTCAGTTTTCTGCTCACTTCAAAGCCCTTATTTTAAGTTATTAAAAGAAAGTGGGCTCATAATACCTGTGTGTCATTAAGAAACGTCTGATCAAACATCTCTTCTTTTAGCTTTCAAACATCTATCCTCGAGGTATTAAGTATTGATGGATTGGTTGAATCCGTTGGAGGAACCTAGCATATACAATTTTTATCAAATGTACTTTTTTTCCCCNCGGCCGCCTTTCATCCCTGCCCTTTGATTTCCAATAAAATAATGAATTGTTCAGTTTTCTGCTCACTTCAAAGCCCTTATTTTGAGTTTTGGTTTGCTGCGTGCCTACAGAGCTGTCTCTGAGTTATTAGAACACTCTCAAAGCCTGGAGCTATCTGGCAGAATTTCACAGGAACATCGCAAAAAAATATCTATATCCAAAGTTATTAAAAGAAAGTGGGCTCATAATACCCGTGTGTCATTAAGAAACGTCTGATCAAACATCTCTTCTTTTAGCTTTCAAACATCTATCCTCGAGGTATTAAGTATTGATGGATTGGTTGAATCCGTTGGAGGAACCTAGCATATACAATTTTTATCAAATGTACTTTTTTTCCCCGTTATATAGGAGTGCCTCTTATGGCCAGTGTACCATATGCAGTGTCCATGCTGCTACTGCTGGCGCTCTATTCTCGGGGGGTGTACGCTGCTCCGGCCCTCCACCTGTGCGGCTCCCACCTGGTGGACGCCCTCTACTTCGTATGTGGGGAGCTGGGCTTTTTCTACAGTCCAAACAGACCTCATAAGCGAGATCTGGATGACATGCTCGGTAAGGCCAAGAACCTTTTTCACCAAGGGCCACATACAGAAAAATATACGAAGGGCTGGGCCGCTCACTAGAGATGAG